CACTGAAAAGCTATCTTAGCTCCTATAAAGTGCATATATTTTTGGGAAAAAATCCTATATTTTCCTATATTTAGAACTTGCACAGCCTATATTTCCTATCAAATTTGTCTAAAATTTGGCTGGGATGCCTGCAATACTATTTTATATTGACTTGTATCTTTGATATAAAAATGCTATATAGTGACCATGAGGTAAAGAACCATAAACAACAACAACAGCAACAACAATATATTTGACGCCTTACGTTCCACTGAGATAATAGTGTATCGTTTAAGAACACTTTGACCCCTTTCTTGTCGTGTAAATCAGAGATATTTCCTCTTTTTGGTCAAACGAGACGCTCTTGGAGCGTGCACTGGGTTGCCTAATGTGCTGGTATGCTGGAGCTAATTTAACACCTTATCTTTTGTATGTACCGCTGTTTGGAAGGAGGGGGTACTTTGGAACATGTTAGGTGTATTTTTCTTACAGAACTTCCGAACACTTATTCTTTCTCACATCAATTTTTTTCAAAAGTGTACCCTTTTAATTTTTGTTGGATAAAAATGTACCGCTTTTGTATATGTTTTAACCAGTTAAGTGGAATGAGATTCGATTAGTAAAACTATACAGATGCGGTTTTGTAACCGGAGAAAACAGCTCTGCGTTACTCAGGTGACTAAGTTTTAATAGGCTCCATCTAAAATTACACTGACAACAACTAACTTGACCTATAAAGGCTTGTGGCGTCTGACGAAATAATTTTTTTTTTCAAGAACCGTGTTCATGGCCAATTCATTTAGAAATATGATTAAATGGTTATTTGTTTTCCGCTTACCGTTCTGAAGTTCTCGATCTCTCCGTTATTGATTATATTCTTTTAATATAGTTTTAAAAAATATCCAAACCAGAGAAGTGGAACTGTGAAACTCGGCTAATACAAGAATTCAAAACTTAGCGAAACGTATTTACGGCCAAAGTTACCAGGTCTATTACCGCGTAGTATTTAACGATATATTAATGTATATGCCTTATTAACTAAAGACTGAAAGCCGTATTTCCCTTTAGGCTATACTAACACACGCGATTCAAGCCAGAATACTGCCGACTGAGTAGCTGTATTAATACTAATAAATATCTGAATTACAATCCTAGAAATCTTCTTTTACTGCTCAATTATATTACTTCTAAAGCCCGGAATTACATCCTCTGCTGCTTAGCCAATCTATAAGCCATTAATCTATGAACACGTCATTTAAATCCATATATGGGTACTCTTGCGCAATAATGCACTTTTCGCGAGACGGAGAAGACAAAAAAAACCAAAGGCATTTGCTGCCACAGGCAACCCAGTAAAAAGAGGCTTTCATGGCCAATAAAAAAATTTAAAAAGCTAACTCTCAAAAAAATATCGTGCAAGCAAATCATGTCCAAAATAAATTCCTGCACAGCCATGAGGGGTAAAAAAAAATTCCTGCACAAAATATATTGCCCAACCCCCCACCCCCCAAAAAACGTGAAATAGGTATAAAGGATATTAGACTAATGCACAATTAGACCCTAATTACTTTTTGAACCCCTTATAATTTCAATTAACAATTACTCTACCAGGGATTTTAGGTACCAATGACTACCTATAATTAAGGAAAATGTAAAAAATATTTTTCCCAGAAAATATTTCAGCAAAATATCACCTTATTGATATATCTACCAGTTAGACAAATAATTATACAGCTTCTCATTAATCCCATATAGGTAATTGTCCAATTATTTTCTTAATTGGACAGGTCTTGTTGATATGGGATTAATTAGGCAGCTATATAATTAATAGGTAATGGGATTTCATGCTCCCTAATCAAGAAATAATTAGACTCGAATAATTCCTCTGACTGCCAAATTGGATACGGCCTCATCCAATTTTGTCAGTCCTCGGAATTTTCCTCGTCCAATTATTTCTTAATTGGACAGCATGGAGTCCTATTACATATACTAATTAGAAAACGTTCCAATTAATTTAGCCCTCAGGCACTATGATTTTTATTTCAAAGCAAAGAATAAATTTCTTATAATCCTACCTTGCTTGTTTTGTCTTTAAAAATATCTGCGTTGGAGGTTATGTTTATTCGACCGATTAAACGCAAACCGGAAAATGATTGAGATGTTCCAACGAATTTAATAATCAGAGCATAAAAGCATTGAGTCCATTGATTCCTGGTATAGAAAACACAGTAAGCATCATATGTCTATTTTCTTGTCTTGCCTTGATGATAGAATGAAAGTAAGCCACGTATAAAGGCTGTTCAAATCCCTATACCACCGACGGAGTTTTACCACGGTGACAATAGCAGCTCATTCAGCAGCACGTTCGACTTTCGCTTCTGCCTGCTGAATTAAAGGCTATATACCTTTTCGGCAATGATCTCTTACTTTCATGTGTATATTTTCGGTTTTGAAACTAATCTTGTAGTTTTATCTGTACATATTAGGCGACGTTAGCAGCACATCGAAACCAATCGAAGGAAAGTGAAACTGCCGCATGGCAAACTCGTGGATACCATCTGAATCCTACTTGCACTTTAGAGAAGTTGGGTTCCCTCTGCCTTATGTGTATTAAATTACTCCTTATGTTTTGACCTTCTCATTCTTACACTGTGAAATAAGCGGCGAATATTCTATAAAAATTCGTTTAGAAATGTTATTCAACTTGTCTTCATTCTAGTCTCTATGATAAGACTGACAGATTTCGTTGTTGTTCGCTGATTTTAGGGACTGTGCAATAATTATCGGGAGGGGGGGTTCTAAAATTAATGGGGGGG